GTAGCAGACGAATTGGATATTTTTCTACACAAGGTCAAAAATTCATCCTTATCCAGTGTTAACTTGTTCTTGGAAACTTGTCCTTGGAAACTTCCCTCGGATTCTCGATTCTTTTGAAGACAACGCATAATCTTTGTATATTGTGATAAAATCGGAGGTGCAGAAATTCAGTGTGAAGTTAGCAGCTTTTGGAACAACTTTGATTCAGTGAGATAGTAAAGAGGATAAAGAGCTTCTTGGTAAAGAGAGATAATCTATATAGACTGTTATGAACAGATACTTATTTCTATAGTTTAAATATTGTTAATCTTCTATACTTTAAATACAACTAACAATTAAAATTTCTATACTTTTTCCTAAGATTGAATTGATTTTTTATTAATAAATTTAAACTGATTTTAATCATGTTTATATAAGTATATTTAAGTTTATTCAGGTTAAATTGCAATTTACATGTCTTCAATTTTATAATTTTTATCTGTTTATTTAGTTATTTATTTTATGTTTTGGTGAATTAAGTCATTTCTTGATGATATCTTAAAAATAAAAAACAATGTCTTAGATTTAATTAGATCAAAATAAAATAAATAAAATGAATGCAAAATTATTTTTTAAAACAAAAATTAAATATTTTATTAAATTTGAAAAAGAAAACTATCAAACGATGTACATATGTATCGATAGAGTCGGATTTTATCTCAATATTTTTCGAACGAAATTGTTTTTTATTAATATTTATGATTCAGATACGAAAGTTTATAGCAACGATCGTTATTTACAGTTATTGTACATTTTAAAATACGTATAACATTAAATTACTTAGTGTGGTACATATTCATAATTAGAATAGAATTATAAGTTCAATTTTAATAATTACAAATTTTTATACCGCTAATTAATTAACACTGAACATAAATATATATTTTGAAGTAATTATTATAACACATCAATAAGTTTAATCAGACAACCACGTAAACGATTTTCACATTCTACATATTAAGATGGAATTCGTCATTCATTTAATTCAATCCGAAATTTTAATTAGATTGAGACAAATAAAATGTAATATCATACTCTAAAATAAATTAATCAGAGACAATTATATCTAATAATTTAAAATACATATACCATTCTCTAAAACTAATTTAACATTTTCACATTAAAAAAAAGTGTGTGGTACATTGAGATTTGGGGCATGCTATGGTGAATGGTTTGTTTGTTAGCAATAAATAAGTTTACACGGAACTGGAATCTCATCCAACCCTCAACCGCAAACGTCCACGTCTGTTTTCTATGCACAAATGAAAGATCTTAAGGATGATATGATAACGATCATGAATCACTGCCTTCTAATATGAAAGTTTTTTTTTTCTTTTTATTTTTTCTAACTTCCAAGTGTCAGGAAAAGTTGAAAGAGAAATAATAATTGTACGGTGCACCGCATGAGTTAGTCATAGACTATTCAGACAACATACGATATACGTTTTAAACATAATCTTTTTATAGATAAGTTTTACTTATTAGGTAGCAGGGTATGATTACGACTCTATTAATTATAAATTAATATCAAAACTTATAAGTACATTGAGGTAAATAAATGTTACTATACGATGAGAATTGATAATCAGTATACTGTCTGTCGAGTCGAATGGATTAACATGGGTTATAAAAAAAAAATTCACAGTGGATTGAGCGCGAGAACAGTTAACTCTATCAATACGATAACTGTTATTGATATATTAAGAGGTAAATTAATTGATCTGATTTTTTTAAATATAAATAGAGGTTTAATTTTGAAGTAAAAGACACTTTTTCATAATTGAATTACTTTAGACCTCTAGAAAAAAAATATCTGACTTGAACATGAGAGTGTTTTTTGTATATCAACTCCCCTCAAACTCAACTCCCCTCAAACTCAACTCCCCTCAAACTGATCAGTCACTCAGAACCGAGTGAAAGTAAAAATTTGTCAAAATAGAAGTGTTGCACATCAGTCATCCTCGTTCCAATTCAGCAGAAACAAGAAACAAGAAGTAAGTTATTATATTCATTGCAAACCATTTCAGCATAAACAAAAAAGTAAATTCATTGCAAACCATTTCAGCATAAACAAAAAAGTAAGTAATTACATTTCTTTGCAAACAAAAAAATAAGTGATTACATTTCTTACAAACTTAAGAACTTAAAATTTTAATACGAATCGATTAGAATACCGACTTGAGGATACTACCGATTAAATATGTTTGATAGATATTCTCAACCTCACACCCAGCATAATAATAATAGTATAAATTTTCATAATATTTATTCAGTCTGCAAACATAATAGATTGTCTAGAGTGGTAAAACAATAAATCTTTACATTTAAAATAGAAATGTTGGAAACAATGGATAGAGTTTCTCCAACCCTTGTTAAAATCGGAGAATGGATATATAGTATTTGAAATTTTAGTAACATTTTAGTATGCAGATAACTGTTTCAAAATTGAGTAACATTTCAATTAGTTTGAATGGATATACGATGTAGTTACTGTATGATTCTTTCCCTTTGTAGTAAAACTTATTATGTAATAATAATGTATATAAAATTGAAAGGAATGCCTGAGATTACGTGTTTTATGATTTGCAGAGGTTATTCATTCCTCCACTCAATGGTGTTTTGTCTGCTTCTCCTCTTCTACCTGAATCATTGCATCAATTGTGCGCGAGCGATGTCATTTTGTGGCCCAGACACTCTTTTTGTTTCTTTACTTCACATATGTGTTTCATATCTGCCGTTCATTTCGCACATTGTTCTTCTCACCACTCATGATAAACTCTTTGCCCTACGTCGCAACTCTCTATCTATCTTTCTAATCAACCAACAAATTGAACGGTGCATAAACCAATTGGCCACACCATGAATTGTGAATACTGCACATTTATAGTTTAAAATTTCATTTCATGCATTTTAGTTACGGTATAAGGAAATGCATTGGTTGATTTTATGTCTATTCATTCCACATTATTATTTCGTAAAGATACAGAGTTTGCGGGAAAAGATGAAAGTGAGTAAAATAGAGGTGATAGGGTAAAAAGAGGGAGAAATTGTGAGGCTACTTTGGCGCTGAGAATATCCGAAAGAAAGAGATTAGAGTATATTCAATATTGATTGTGTTTGTGTTGAGTTCAGTGTCCACACGCTACTAACAAGAAACAACAAGACTTTGTTTCGTATTGCATTATAATAGAGAGAAATGGGTTTAGAGGAATAGCAAGAGAGAGATGAGAGTGATAGTGCCTCTACAAGGGGTTGTTCAAGGCACAAGAGGTCTTTTCTGGGGTTCCGTAATTCCTTGTGCCCTCTTCTACTTTCTTCAACTCTTCTTCAAAACCAAGACACGTCACCACCAACCACCACCTTCCCACAACCATAAGGAGGATTCCACCACCTTCCGCCGTTCTTTATCTCTCACCGCAAGGCATGCTTCTGCCTCTGCTTACGTCTCCCCTCGCGCCAATTTCGTAATCGCTACTAACTCTTCTTTCCATCTTGGTTTCGACAAGGTTGCTGATGATCCCTACCATGAAACTCATAATCCCGATGGAGTTATTCAACTTGCTTTGCACCAAAACACCGTGAGTCACTTTTTTTTTCCTCTGTTTTTTTCTCAATTGAGCTGTAATGCACTCTGTTATGTTTCTGTCTCTTAAACACATTTAGATGTTTATAAGAGACAGATCCAACCCTCAACCGCAAACGTCCACGTCTGTTTTCTATGCACAAATGAAAGATCTTAAGGATGATATGATAACGATCATGAATCACAGCCTTCTAATATGAAAGTTTTTTTTTCTTTTTATTTTTTCTAACTTCCCAGTGTCAGGAAAAGTTGAAAGAGAAATAATAATTGTACGGTGCACCGCATGAGTTAGTCATAGACTATTCAGACAACATACGATGTACGTTTTAAACATAATCTTTTTATAGATAAGTTTTACTTATTAGGTAGCAGGGTATGATTACGACTCTAATAATTATAAATTAATATCAAAACTTATAAATACACTGAAGTAAATAAATGTTACTATACGATGAGAATTGATCATCAGTATTATGTGTGTCTGAGTCGAATGGATTGAATCGTGGGGTATAAAAAAAATTTCACAGTCGGTTGAGCGAGACAACAACAGTTAGGAAAGTTAAAACGTAATCAATACGATTAAAAGATAAATTAATTGGTTTGATTTTTCTAAATATAAACAAAGATTTAATTTCGAGGTAAAAAACACTTTTTTATAGTTGAATTACTTTAGACTTTAGAGAAAAATAATCTGACTTAAACATGAGAGTGTCTTTTGCATGTCAACTCCCCTCAAACCGATCAGTCACTCAGAGCAGAGTGAAAATAAAAGTTCGTCAAGACAAGAGTGTTGCGCATGAATCATTCTCGTTCCAATTCAGTAGAAACAAAAAGTAAGTTATTACATTTATTGCAAAAGATTGTTCCAATTCAGCATTAGCAAAAAGTAAGTGATTACATTTATTAAAAATATAAGATTTTAATATGACCCGATTAGAATAATGACTTGAGATACTACCGATTCAATATATTCAATATGTTTGATAGATATTCTCAACCTCACACCCAGCATAATAATAATAGTATAAATTTTCATAATATTTATTCAGTCTGCAAACATAATAGATTGTCTAGAGTGGTAAAACAATAAATCTTTACATTTAAAATAGAAATGTTGGAAACAATGGATAGAGTTTCTCCAACCCTTGTTAAAATCGGAGAATGGATATATATTATTTGAAATTTTAGTAACATTTTAGTATGCAGATAACTGTTTCAAATTTGAGTAACATTTCAATTAGTTTGAATGGATATACGATGTAGTTACTGTATGATTCTTTCCCTTTGTAGTAAAACTTATTATGTAATAATAATGTATATAAAATTGAAAGGAATGCCTGAGATTACGTGTTTTATGATTTGCAGAGGTTATTCATTCCTCCACTCAATGGTGTTTTGTCTGCTTCTCCTCTTCTACCTGAATCATTGCATCACTTGTGCGCGAGCGATGTCATTTTGTGGCCCAGACACTCTTTTTGTTTCTTTACTTCACATATGTGTTTCATATCTGCCGTTCATTTCGCCCATTGTTCTTCTCACCACTCATGATAAACTCTTTGCCCTACGTCGCAACTCTCTATCTATCTTTCTAATCAACCAACAAATTGAACGGTGCATAAACCAATTGGCCACACCATGAATTGTGAATACTGCACATTTATAGTTTAAAATTTCATTTCATGCATTTTAGTTACGGTATAAGGAAATGCATTGGTTGATTTTATGTCTATTCATTCCACATTATTATTTCGTAAAGATACAGAGTTTGCGGGAAAAGATGAAAGTGAGTAAAAAAGAGGTGATAGGGTAAAAAGAGGGAGAAATTGTGAGGCTAATTTGGCGCTGAGAATATCCGAAAGAAAGAGATTAGAGTATATTCAATATTGATCTTGTTTGTGTTGAGTTCAGTGTCCACACGCTACTAACAAGAAACAACAAGACTTTGTTTCGTATTGCATTGGCTTGCGTCAGTAACATAACAGAGAGAAATGGGTTTAGAGGAATAGCAGGAGAGAGATGAGAGTGATAGTGCCTCTACAAGGGGTTGTTCAAGGCACAGGAGGTCTTTTCTGGGGTTCCGTCATTCCTTGTGCCCTCTTCTACTTTCTTCAACTCTTCTTCAAAACCAAGACACGTCACCACCAACCACCACCTTCCGACAACCATAAGGAGGATTCCACCACCTTCCACCGTTCTTTATCTCTCAACGCAAGGCACGCTTCTGCCTCTGCTTACGTCTCCCCTCGCGCCAATTCCGTAACCGCTACTAACTCTTCTTTCCATCTTGGTTTCGACAAGGTTGCTGATGATCCCTACCATGAAACTCATAATCCCGATGGAGTTATTCAACTTGCTTTGCACCAAAACACCGTGAGTCACTTTTTTTTTCCTCTGTTTTTTTCTCAATTGAGCTGTAATTCACTCTGTTATGTATCGCTGGTTGTAGCTATCTCTTGATTTAATTCAAGATTGGATTCACTGCAACGGAAGCGCTGCTATATTGGGGACACCTCTCACCATTTCCAGGATTGCTCCTTACCAACCTCTCGATGGATTGATGGAGCTCAAAGTGGTAATTCTTGTCTGTTTCTTTATGTGATGAAGGGATTGTTGATGAAAACGTTGGATGAACAAACAATCTATGTTGATCCTCTAACCCTGCAGGCTGTGGCTGGTTTCATGTGTCAAGTTTTGGAAAAGCCCATTTTCTTCAACACTTCGCGAATGGTACTGACTGCAGGTGCTTCCTCTGCCATTGAGATTCTGAGCTTCTGCCTAGCAGATCACGGAAATGCATTTCTTGTTCCCACGCCTCTTAGCCCCGGGTAACAATCACTTCCCAATCTCCCAATTCCTCATTTTATGTTGCAGAAAAGGTTTTAAGTTGGAACTATAGTGGCACTTTTGTCCTGATCCTTGTCATGATAGTATAAATAATGGCCTATGTCACCGCACTGGAGTTGCCGAAATTCTAAACTGATATTTGTGGTCATAATCTGAGTCACGGCCAGTTTTTCAAACCTTAACAGGCTTTAAATTGGGAGTTTTTCAAACCTTAACAGGCTTTAAATTGGGAGTGTAATAGCATTTTACCACAACATGTTTACTTTTATATTGCAGAAAATTGCATATGTACTTTAATTAAAAGTCATTATGGTTCCAGAGTTTTTCTTCTTCTTTTTAACAGAAAAAAGGAATATATTTCATGTGGATTCCACGAGTTGATGTACATCAGAAAAAAAAAAGAATAAAAGAAAAAGTGATAGACTGAGATGTATTACTATATTAATTAACCCAACAACCTTAAACAACCTTTTCGTCTTATTCGTATTTAAAATTCTTTTGTTGATGAAAAAGTTATCATTTTATCATCTTAAAGATGTTATAAAATATATACTTTGATAAGATTAAAAAGATAAAAAGAAATAGAAATTGTTTAATAGGTATCATTATCCTTTTAACTTTACAATTACAGGAAAAAATACATTAAAAATTTAATAGTTGTTTGACAATTATATTATAATACAATAATAAAATGTAAATGATTGATGTGTTAAATAAAATTACAAAAAAATTGTGTGTATTATTTTTTCACTTTTATACACAATATGCAGTTTTGACGAGGTTGTAAAATGGCGCACCGGAGCTGAGATAGTACCTGTTCCCTGTCGTAGCGCTGATGACTTCAATTTAAATATAACTTCACTTGAGAGAACCTTCAATCAAGCAAAGATGCGTGGTCAAAAAGTTCGTGGAATTATAATAACCAACCCGTCAGATCCTGCTGGAAAATTGTTGAATCGGGAAACACTGTTGGATCTTTTGGACTTTGCTAGAGAAAAGAACATTCATATAATCTCCAGCGAGATGTTTGCAGGCTCTTCTTATGGTAATGAAGAATTTGTGAGCATGGCAGAAATAATGGAGGCAGAAGATCATGACCGGGACAGAGTTCATATAGTGTATGATTTATCCAATGAGCTTTCTGTTCCAGGCTTAAAGGCGGGTGCTATCTACTCCTATAATGACAATGTCGTAGCTGCTTCTAGCAAATTGGCAAGGTTCTCCACTGTTTCTGTCCCAACTCAAAGATTGCTTATCTCCATGCTTTCAGATACAAGTTTTATGCAAGAGTTTATTGAGGTTAACAGATTGAGGATGCGGAAAATGTATAATATATTTGTGACAGGGTTAAAGCAGTTGGGGATTGAGTGCACTAGGAGCAGTGGTGGTTTTTGCTGTTGGGCTGACATGAGCAGGTTGATTCGGTCTTACAGTGAAAAGGGGGAGCTTGAGCTGTGGGATAGATTGTTGAATGTTGTCAAGATCAATGTTACCCCGGGTTCTTCATGTCACTGTATTGAACCTGGATGGTTTCGTTTTTGTTTTGCTACATCCACTGAAAAGGATGTTTCTGTAGTGATGGAACGGATTTGGAGAATTTCCGACTCCACAAAGTGAACATAGTTGATGTGGGGTCAATTAGTTCCGCAAATTTAGTTGGTTTATTGATTCTTTATTCTTTTGGAGAACCCAGCATCATCCTCGTAGGAATAATCAATCACCAAGGGGAGTTGGATGATATGTCGTTATGCAATGGAGTTGCTTCAAAATGATAGGTTGTAAATTGTATTTTTAAAAACCTACGCTTCAAGACTAAAATATTTCAATGTGTAGTCAGAACCTGGTAGATCACTTCTGATGTCTTCAAATTGATGCAATCAAAGGAGACTGCTCAGCTTGCAATGAGAGGAGAATGTGAAAAGAAAGATAGAAACTCCTTTTGTTATGAACTTATGGGCATGATAGTAGTTTTTATTTTTTTTTTATTCTGTAAACTTATAATAGAGAATCACATTCTTTTTTGTTGTGAATTTTAGTACGAAAGTCCTACTGTACATCTTATATTTGATGTGATAATTAAAAATTTAGAAGGGCGGACTTTAACAAAATATCCTTCTTGGAAGCTGGTGTTGTCCTAATGTAGTCTTATAAAATAAAATCAATGTTGGTAAGATTTACATCCATAATATACTTTAATAGTCTTTATGTGATTTTAGATGATGTATCTCCTTGAAGTCGTTTTATCAGGTGAGCTCCTCTTCAAAAAGACGGATCAAATCTAATGTTGATAGGAAATTCAGCAGAGAACCTAAGCAAAAGTAGTTTTGTTTGCTCTGCGCCACTAGACATGGTCTTCATACAAAAAAAACAATTCGTTTATGGTAATGACAGGCATATCATTTGCTCATGGGGAGAAAAGGCAGAGGCAGAAAGAAAAGATAAAAACTAGAAAAAGTCATATAACTGTAAGATGAAATTTGCTCTAGGATATATACTCTATTTTAGTCATACAATTAAAAGATATGTGATCTCCCACATTTTCACATACAGTGGTTTATCCCTCATGACATGTTACCGAAGCCGAAACAGAATTAGTAGGAAATGAATAACAAGACTTTTTGTTTCCCCCTTGAAAGCACGAGAAGTAATGGAATAAACAAATGCCCTTATTTGCAGAAGTTACAAATTTATGAAAAAAATAATGGCAATATAAAAAAGAATACAAAAGAATTTTTATCCTTTTCTTTTCTGCGTTTTGAATGGCCGAGTAACAAATCTGATACCTCCTGCACACACATTCCATCCTGATCCAAATCTCGTTCCATGTATGCCTAAATGCCTAAATCTGATACCTCCTGTCCATGAAGAATTTAACAAATTAAGCAATCACTTCAATTCTGAGCTGCACAGCATGGAAAAGCTATAACTGATTAATGGGAATCTAATCCATTTCTAATGGACTCAAGGACCTGGACAACCTCAGCCATGCTTGGTCTCCTTAAAGGATCCTCCGAAGTACAAATTAGTCCCAATCTCATAACCTGAATTAATTCGTTCTCAGTAAAGCCCAGTAAATTTCTGTCAAAGCAATCTGAAGCTGAGCTAGTCTCTAACAAACCTCTTACATATTCACACAAGACCACCACCTCATTTGTGGTTGGACTTTCCACAGGCTTCCTCCCTGTAACCAGCTCCAAAAGAATGACTCCAAAACTGTAAACATCACATTTTTCACTCTGCCTCAGCCCTTGAGCCAACTCTGGTGCAACATATCCCACAGCATTGTGGAATTTGGTCAAACCATAATTATCCAAAATGGGAAGTAACTTTCCTAATCCATAATCAGACAACTTAGCTTCATACTTGTCATCTAGGAGTATGTTAGAGGATTTAATGTTGAGATGAAGAATTGGAGGTCTACAGTCATGGTGGAGATAAGCAAGGGCTCTTGCGGTTCCCACTGCAATTTGAAACCTTCTAGACCAATATAATTCCCTATTTCCTCTACTAGTACTGGTTCCAGCATAGCCCAACCCATGTAGATTATCATAGAGATTCCCATTTGGGACAAACTCTGATAGAATCAAATGCATTGAAGAGGACCAATAATAACCTTGAAAAGCAACTAAATTAGGGTGTTGAAGATTGCCTAGTCGCCCAATTTCATGCTCAAATTCCTCCTGGTTTCTAATCCTTCCCATAGTCTCGAGCTTCTTCACTGCAATTGAGATCCCGCCTTCAAAATCAGTTCGGTAGACTGTACCAATTGATCCACCACCTATCAAAGACTCTTTATCAAGCAATGCTTTGGTACCTGCCTCCCAATCTTCATATTTTGATGGTAAACTTTTGCTGAAGAGAACCAGCTTTCCAATTATAAGATTTGATTCTGTTGACCCAAGAGGGGTGCTCTCAACAATCATAATCTGATCATCCTGTTTTTTTCTACCACGTGCCGCCATATTCATGATGGTCACCAAACAAACCCCAGTGAGAATTACAGCTGCAGCAACAATTGCAACGATTGCTGAGGTGCTTAGAACTTTAGCCTTCCCAGGAGATGAAGGCGATGTAGCTCCGTTTACCAAGCAAGGGGTGTCCAAAGGACGACCACAGAGAAAAGGATTATTGGAAAATGCAGATGCACCAAAACGCTGTATGTTTTCAATCTCAGGAATGAAACCAGACAGATTATTGAATGAGAGATCAAAATGTGTCAAGTTATTTAAATTTCCAAGGGAAGTAGGGATTGGGCCAGAAAGTGAATTATGTGAAAGATCTAGGTACTGAATCCTTGATAGGTTTCCTAGGCTTGGGGGGATGCTTCCATTAAGCTCGTTATGATGTAGGTTAAGGGATTCCAGGTTTGTCAAGTTGTAAAGAGTCTGAGGAATCTCACCTTCTAATTTATTACCAGAAAGGTCCCTGCAGCGACAAAAAAGAATGAACTAAGATTTTATTCAGAGGGTTTAACATAATACAGAGCAATTAGAGAAAGATAAAAAACTCACAGCCCAAGAAGAAACTTGCAATTGCTTATATCATCAGGAATTTGGCCAACGAGGTTCAGATTGTGCAAATCCAGCAATTCAAGAAGCTCGACGCTGCCAAAGCCCTTGGGGATCATTCCACCAATGGAATTATTACCCAATTTGATAACAATTAGTCCCCGCAGTTCCGGAATATCCATTGGGATATTCCCCTCCAGTCTATTCAATTCCAACGCCAAGAGCTTTAGGCTCTTGCATTTTGTTATGCTGGTGGGAATCTCCCCATCTAAAAGATTCCCCGAAGCATCCAAGATTTGCAATCTCCCACTACAGGAACTGATCTCAGGAATATGTCCTCCAAACCCATTATACGATAAATTGAGATAGGTAAGATTTTGCATTTCAAGGACACTGAACGGTGCCAAATCAGTGAACCTATTACTTCCAAAATCCAAATGTTCCAGACTTTGGCATGAGGAAATGAGCTCCTGCACGCTCCCTGACAAGGCATTGTTTCTCAGCGACACATAAGACAACCTTGGAATGCCACAAAGCCCGGAAGGGACAACCCCACTAAGGTTGTTGAAGGAGAAATCAAACCCTTCAAGGTTAAAGCAGTTCACCAAGGAGGCAGGAATTGAACCGGCGAGGTTGTTATGAGAAAGAGAAACGAACCTTGTTTTGTAGCAGTACCGAAACAAAACCGAAGGTATCTCCCCAGTGAAGCCATTCTTGGATAAATCCAGAAACCGAATGCTAGGCAAATCACCAATGAACTCGGGGATAGAACCAGATAAAGCATTGGAACTCAAATTGATCTTCCACAGTGAGTGAAGATCACCATACCCTTCTGGAATACCACCCGAGAGACGGTTTCCGAACAACGTCAATATCCTCAACCTCTTCAACCCCGAAAGTGACGAGGATAACACCCCTCCCAAGCTAGTGTTCCACAGCACGATTCTCTCCACAAACCCTTCAGAGTTACACGAAACGCCTCTGTAATCGTTGCACGGGTTCCCACTTGAAACCCACGAACTCAAGCTGGCGCGTGGATCGTCCGTGATGTTACCTTTGAATTCAAGCAAAATTTCCTTCTCGGTCACTGCAGAAGCTGTCACAAGACAATAAAAAAAGGTGCACAGTAGAGCATGAGAGAGATGAATAGCACGGTGTCTTCTCATGCTCGAAACAATGTGATCACCCCTTTGACATCATAGCTGTCACAACCGAACCAGAGTCGATTCTGAGGTGTTGCTTCCTCAGCTACAAAGTTTCAGGTAATCGTAAAGTCGGTCCAATAAGAAACAAAACATCACGATCATCACCGACGGGGAGCATTCTCATTCAGAAGACTGGAATTGCAGGAGAGAGAAACAAACCCAAAAAAAAAGAATAAAAATAGTACCCGTTTAATCTCTCACTGTTTTTTCCTCCATGGTTCTCCGTATAAGCATGAAGAAGAAAGATTCAATAATGCCCACGTCGTGTTCCGTGTTTTTTAATGGTTGATTGATTGTGGGGTGACATAAAAATGGGAGCTTTTGGAGAGAAAGAGAGAGAAGGAATGGAGGGCAGGGAGGAGTGGGGGGGGAAGAGAAGAGTAAATGTGATGAAATGAAGAAGGTGGAAATGGTGGCTGTACCTTTGCTGGAAAGGAAGCAGGTGAGACAGTGGGAGGGAATTAAATAAAGTTCTTTTAATAGGGTGTGATGTATAAATTCAGAGATTGCCACCAAATGAAGGATGAAGCACGTGCATGAGAGAGAGAGAGAGGGTGTTTCTCTCTCTAGACTTTGTAAGGCAATGATGCCCTTGAACAATGAAAATCCAATCTGTGTCTGTGAGCTTGAGGAGTTACTGCTACTAATCTCTCCACCATGTCTTGCATTGTTGTGTAGGGCCTGCTTCTCTTAACCGGCATTTATTCTTCCCTACCAACCAAGCCACCACCTCCCACATCGCTATCTCCAACACCATCCCATTTAATATGCAAGAGGAGATGGGTAATGTAGTAGAATCATTGGGGAGAAATAAAAGAAAAGTTGAAGGAAGAAGATGAGAGTGGAAAAGAAAAGAGTTAAGGAGTGTGTTTCTTTGTCTGTAGTACCGTTTCCTGGCCCTCCTTGCTTTATTCTATCTATCCGTTTCCTTCACCACACTTTTCATACCAATTCCTCCCAATTACCAGCTCCCAACTCAAGAAAATTTACTCACTTCCAAACCATTTTCTAACTCCATTTACTTACACTTATATATATATAATCAATTATGTTTTATAGACACCATTTTTTTATATAATATTTTACAATTATATAGTTACGTAATAAATGTGTAATAAAAACAATAAATTATCTAAATATTAAATATGCATTTATAAATTTTTGTAATGAATTTTTTATTAAAACTTGTTTAATTATAACCTACGTAACTTGTTTTAAGGTTAATCTAAATATTATTAACAATTAATGTAGTTAATATTTTGATATATTGTTTTATTGCTGGTCGTTGCGACTATCCGATATACGGTTCATCGGATAGTTATACTATGCAAATTATTTATTAAAATAAGATTATTAGTAAAAAGATATTGATTATAAAAATATTTAGAATTTGATTTTATGTATTTTTATTTTTTATTTAGATTTATAATATTGAAATCATTTTTTTAATTTTTAAAATTTATTTTTTGATATAAATTATTTAAATTAAACTTTTAAAAGTTCAAATTTATTTACATTAATAATTTATTAATATTCATTGAATAATTTAAATTATATTTAAAAATTAACTTTTTAATTAAATTAAAATTTAAAAAAAATATTTTTAACTAATTTTATTTATTACATACATACATATATACATATATATATATATATATA